TTTACTTTATTTTAAGGGGATGTTTGGGGGAGTGAAATTTTTGGGTAAAATGGGTATGAGCTGTAAAAAAAGTAAATAATGCGCTGACGTTTGGAAATTAATGTAATGTGGTAACAAAATTCAAATGATTTTGTATGTGCCGTCCGTTTATATTTTTTATTTTATTTTTATATATATTTTTTTTTTTAGTGGAAAAGCGTGAATTTAAACGGTGTTCAGTTATAACTTTTGGGTCGGTCACGCAATACAGATTTGCAAGCAAAAGCAACGCAAAACAACTTGTTTTGGAGATAATAAAAAGGAAAATAGTATAATCCTTCACTCGGGATTTGTAACGGTTTGATCATTATGTACTGTCATAAATAGTTGATCTGACGATTACGAACTCCGACTGAATGGTACAATAACGGGACCGTAGAATCTCTCTAATAAAAAAAATTAGAAAAACTTATGTTAGTTTGTTATTAATCATTTCTATTATTTTATTATTTAAAAAAGCTGAACAAGGAATGGTCAAAAAAAGGAACAGCAGGGCTTCTTTTGTAGAGAACTATTAAATGAGATATCTGAACCTGGACCAAATAATGTATTTGGAATGCTTAATTAATTAAGTTTTATAAATAAGTACATACTCCTCGTATTTAATTTTGCTTTAATTTGATGCAAAATAATTTAATAAAGAACAGAATGGGAGAAACTTTATAGAGATCAGGTGAATTTTAATTTAGTGCATCTGTATTTCTCATAAAAAAAGAAACTTTATGAGCTGTAACTCATTATAGAGCTGTAATTTGATATTTGGGGCATTCTTGATAGATATTTGTAGCCGTAGGTTTAATTACTTTGACATTTCGAGGATATGGTGGTTTCAAAAATTTTTATTTTCTCCGTTTTAAATTATAAGTCGCTTTGACTTTTTTGGTATCTTCACTTTGTTATGTATTTAGATAATAACATGTCTAGATACATAGCAAAATGGATTAATCAAAAAAGTCAAAACGACTTAAAATTTGAAATGGAGAAAGTATTAAACTTATTTATTTCTTTTGTTTGTCCTTCAAGTATATGGCATCAGTCATCACCCTTCCTTTTCTCTATGATTGCCAATTAATAAAAAAGACTAGCACGACAATTAACGTACGAGAGATATATCGTTAAATAAAATCATATCTATCGCTACAAAAAATTGTCAAAATACCAACAAAAATTTTTTCGTTGGGAATTGTCTACAAATTAGCAATGGATTATATATACAATTTTTCTTCTCACATAGTACTAACAGGATATAGCAACGGAAAATTATACTCCCTCCTATTTTAAATAAATGTCGTTTTGACTTTTTTGATTCATCCCTTTTGTTATGTATCTAGACATTAATATGTCTAGATACATAGCAGAAGGAATGAATCAAAAAAGTCAAAACGACATTTATTTAAAATAGGAGGTAGTATCTTTGTATTCTGTTGACAAATAGTGACGGAATTATTTCGTCAGTAAAAACACAAACAAAATACCAATAGAATAGCAACAAAGTCTTTCAAAATTGTATTAGTAAACACAAACAAAATACCAATAGAATAGCAACAAAGTCTTTCAAAATTGTATTAGCAACGAATTTTTGTCGTTGGCAAATAGCAACGGATACAATCATTATCGTATTAGTAACGGATTATTTCATTGGTAAATAGTAACGATTTTTTTCCATTGGCAAATAGCAACGTAATAACAACAAATTCTTTCAAAATTGTATTAGCAACGGATTATTCCGTTGACAAATAGCAACAAAATATCAACAAACCCTTCAAATTGTATTAGAAACAGATTATTCCGTTGGTAAATAGCAATGGATAATTCCGTTGGCAAATAACAACGGGATAGCAACAAACTCTTCAAAAATTGTATTAGCAACAGATTATTTCGTTGGCAAATAAATAGCAACAAACTCTTCCAATATTGTATTAGCAACGGATTTTTTCGTTGGCAAATATCAACGGAATTTTTACGTCGGAA